ATCCACCAATAGCTGGGTGAGCCAACACCTCCTCCTGCGGGGCCCAACTCACTAACCACCCTCTCTTCGCCGTAGCCTCCAAGACCTCCTTCGGAATCTGACCCTCCCAGTCGCCACCGGGTATCGAATTAGGCCGTCTGACCCACAAGAATCGATGCCCGCTATTTACCAAGCCGTGCCAAAACTCCATCACTTGGTCACTTGTCATCATGGCAAGGCTTCCAATGCTAACGTAGATCACGGATTTGGGTGGCTGCGCGTCGAGCCACTTCAAACAGCTTCTATCTTCCTGCCATAGACTGCTTGAGGAGGCCTGTTGTGGTCCTGGTGGTGTTGGTTCGGTTGCCAATTTCATTTTGAGGTGGGTGTGGAGTGGGCCGATGGGATAGAGATTTGGGCAGAGAGATCGCATATGAGAGAGTACAGGTTCGTCTACCTCTTCAAACGTGTTGAGTATGAGTCCACGGGCTCGTGGAACTAGTTGAACTTCCTTCACAATGATTTTGGCGACAGGGTCATTCAGATCTCCGACACGACAAAAGTCTGGTAGATCACGGCGGCGAAGAAAGCCCTCCATGCCAGGAACACTCTTAATTGGTGCATCCAAATCATCACCTATGCGAACAAAAATTGTGAAAAAAAATAAAAAATAAAAAAATCAATCAGTATGGGGAGATATGCTCAAATTGGTGGTTGCCCACCTCATTTTTGTAGAAACCGACAGATTTTCAAAATTCCTATAATTATCAATGTGTATTATCACTCAAGTTGAGTTAGAAATTTAACATTTTTAGAAAGAATTTATGTATGAAAGTTAAAACAGTGCAAGAAAGAACACTCCCATCATTTTCTCAGGAGCAATATTAGGACTCGAAAAAAATTATCAAAAATTTTATACAATATTATTTAAGTAGGCACCATGTAAGTATTGGATAGAATTTTTGAAATCTCTTTTTCTCAGTGACCAAACAGTTTAAAAGTAAAAAACTCTATAACCCACCTTCGAAAGGAAGCTCGCCAGCATCAATGAGTTTCGGGACGCAGAAGTAAGTCCAAAGACCGCAAGGACTAATAGTATCAAAATACATCAGAGGAATTCCAACTTCTTCAGCAATTTCAAAGCTGAAACTCAAAACCCCATCTGCAATAATACAAGTCACCGGCCTGCCTATCCCAGAACTCAACATCTCCTTAAAAAGTGGTTTTGTTACAGTCTCCAAAGAATCAAACAAGTCCATGAATCGGTCTCCAGATCTCGGGTGGTCTTCGGGGAGGCCATCGGAGATGGTTTCGAAGCGGAATTGAGGGTAGGTTGCGAAGCGGGATTGGATGTCGGTGTAGAGGAGAAGACGGCGGTGGTTGTGGTCGGTGTTGAGGAAGGTGACGTGGAGATCGGGGGCGAGGCAGAGAAGCTCGGCTAGCTTGAGCATGCATTTGATGGGTCCTTGGATTGGTAAGGGGAAGATGAGTACATGAGGTGAGGCTGAGCTTTGTTCCATGGAATTGGGTTTTGGAATTTTCTGTGAGATTTGGTTCAAAGCTCAGATCAAGACTTGTCTGGTGCGATAGAGAGACTTTTAGCTTTCCAAATGTAAGAGCATCTCCAACGGTAATAGGCATTTTACCTATTTAAACATTACTATAAAGTATATATTTTATTTTGCCTATCAACTATTTCATGTTTTTACTCCAACCATGCTCTTTATTTTAGCTATTTATCTAAATACTATTAATTTTATAAAATGTCACATCAACAACAAAGATGGAGGGAAATGATCCTAATGATTAAATACATTTTGCCTAACCTTGAAGGCTAGCTACATGTAGCTAGTGAAGAGCATCTCCAACCCACTAGGCATATAATGCTTGTTAGTTAAAATGCCTAGTATAACTCATTTTTTTCAACTCCAATGCACTAGGCATATGATTAGGCATTTTAGCTCAACTCATATTCACTAGCTACATGTAGCTAGCTTTCAAGGCTAGGCAAAATGAGTTTAATCATTAGGATCATTTCCCTCCATCTTTGTTGCTGATGTGGCATTTTCTAAAATTAATAGTATTTAGATAAATAGCTAAAATAAAGAGCATGATTGGAGTAGAAATATGAAATAGTTGATAGGTAAAATAAAATATATACTTTATAGTAATATTTAGATAGGTAAAATGAGCTAAAATGCCTAATCATATGCCTAGTGCATTGGAGTTGAAAAAAATGAATTATACTAGGCATTTTGACTAACAAACATGATATACCTAGTGGGTTGGAGATGCTTAACCAGGTTCGAATTCCTTATTTTTTAAGAGGAAGTGTTTAGGTGGCTTGACTATTTTTTTCCGTTTGGTTTGTAAGGATGAATCTGGACAAAAAGTAAAATACAAATAAATAAATAAAATAAAATAAAAGTAAACAGCAAAATGGTTAAGAGTGTGAGAAGCTTAAGCTAGGTTCTCAAATACCATTAGGGTGCCGGCCTTGTGAAGGAGGCAGTATTTTTTTTTATGAGGGTGTGTCAGGTTCGATTTTTGTGTTGAATGTTTACTTTATTTAGTTGACTCTTTTGAGAGATCACACGTTGTATTCGATTGATAATTTTTTTTTTTTTTTTTTTTTTTTTTGGGACATATAACTAAGCTCTATTGAGTTTTTCAGTCTTGAGTCCTTACTTTTGAGTTAGATTAAATCTAGTTATCAACTAATTATATCAGGTTTAGAGTATACAGATACTTTGATATTCTCACGAACATACTTTTTTACTGTTAAAAAAAAATATATCACAAATGACTCTTTCAACATGTTACGTATTCTTCAGATTAAAAAAAAAAAAATTATGTTAGGCATTTTTTTCTTATGTTAATAAAATTTTAAAAAAAAAAACATGAAGAGAAAGACCCACTTTAACCGGAAGACTTCCAATCGATGTCCTTCTAAGTGTTGCTAACTTTAGTTTAACGGAAATCTCTATTAATCAAAAAATAAAAATTTGATTCACATGGAGAAAAATAACCAACATAATTCACGACTCTAAGATATAAGAACCCACTCTACTCTATCCATGACTCTATCCCTCTATCCATGACTTTACCATTAATTAATTTCAAATATTAATTAAATAAATATTTTAAAATTAGGTAGGTCAAATTATTTGGTGGTGTACTAAAAGGCACTGAATTTGCGGATTCTAAACGTTCTCATTTGTTTTTGACAAAAGTCCACTCTTTTATGGTTAGTTTGAGCATTATGAGTTATAAAATAGGAAAAATTATTTGTAAGTCTTACTAGGAGATTTATTTAATGTAAAGTTTTGTGTAATTTTTTATAAAATTTTAAGGTCTATTTAAATTAGAAAGTATTCCACAAGATCCTATAAATTGTGATTAAATGGTATTAGTATACTATTATACTATTTATATATGTTTCCATATTATAAGTTATTCGCCCTATTAAGGTTTGGAAACTTTTAGAAAAGTTTATTGTGTAGGCTTCGTCTGTTGCTGTGAATTGTGCCATGATCGCGGAGGCTAGTAGATTTTGAAAATGTTACTGGTTTGGATGATTTTGTTGTTTGATCTTGCCAATCTGGACTCAAAGTGTTTGAGAGAAGGTGATAAAGTTGTTTGCTTCTTCAATTGGTGAGTGTTGCTGTGTGTTTGCCGATTGTTTTGTTTTCAATGTCATCTCATATGATATGGATTTCACAATCTAGTATAGCCATTCATTGGCACACTTTCATTAGCCTCCATTGAAGTTACATTTAGGTTGTAATGGTAATCATGTATCTACAATATTGTTATGTCTTCTCTGTGTTACGTTCAGTTGTATTTGTCTTTGAACTTGTGTGATAACGTTATTGTATTCATTGTTTACATACATGTCACATTACGTTTCGTAAAAGTACATCACGTTCGGTTATTAAGTTTTATTTTAATGTGAAAATGTTGATGGGTTGTGTAAAATGGTACAGTCATACATTGGTACACTTCCATTAGCCTCAAAGGACATTACATTTAAGTTGTAATTTTAAACCACATCTGCAATGTTGTCATTTTTTTTTGTGTGTCACGTTCGTTCGTATTTAATTTGTGTTGTGCAATTGTTGTATTTATTGTGGACATATGTGCCACATTACATTTCCCAAACTTATTGGGTTTCTATTTTTTCCATTTGAATGTGACAATGTTGCTTGTTCGTGAAAAGCATTGAAATGTATGTGAATGTAACTCACATACACATGGATATGATCTATGGTAACATTCAATTTCGTATATATAGTTTTGGCTTTCAATTTCCTATACACGTGGATATGATTATGGTTTTGGCATTATTTATGATATTAAGTTAGTGTGGACATATGTGTCACATTACATTTCGCAAACTTATTGGGTTTCTAATTTTTCCAATTGAATGTAACAATATTGCTTGTTCATGGAAAGTATTGGAATGTATGTGAATGTTACTCATACTTTTCATTATATATTATTCAATTTAGATTTATATTGTTTAGCTGTAAAATTTCTTATGATGGATTGTGATTGAATGTGGGTTGAACCTTGTAGTACGATGTTGACGTTACTGCGCTCACATTTGATTATATATCACATATCTTGTATGCCTTGTTTTTTTTTATTTTTGTCGGAATGTAGTGACACGGTTAATGTTTCATTTATTTTGTTGCACAGGATATGGACATCATGCTATTGTGCACCTTCGATTCATCCACTGTTGCTGTCAAAGGCGTTAATGGATTGACATTCACACAATTGGTTGAAAATTTATGTGACAGGTGGGGGAATGTGACACCATCATCGATTTCCATATCTTACAATCTACCGTGTCACGAGAACCAATTCATGATGAGTACTAATGTGGACGTGGAAAACATGTTTTCCCTTGCAAGATCCTTTGGCGTTACCATATCAACGTTGCGGTTGACTCACAAAATGAAGTGGCTGATTTGATTCGAGGTAAGCAATATGGTGGGACTATCTCCGCAAGTCAAATGGATCCTAACATTGAACAATTTTTGGGTGCCGAAACGGACGTAGATTTGTTGCCCAATTATCGTCACCACAGTAAGAAAACGTTGATGACAGTTGATTGGGTACGTGGTGTTAGTCACGTAGGCCAATGTTTCAAAAGGGGTGTTGCTGCATTTTATTTGGTTCTATCCAAATATGTTATTGAGTGTGGGTTTGATTTCAAATTCGTGAAAAATAGTTTAGTGCGGGTCAGGGCTGTGTACACGTTGCGAGAGAAAAAAGGGTGTACCTGGTTGATACATAGAAGGGTTCAAACATGCAATGGATACTTTTACTTGAAGAGGTTGAGCAACTTGCATAATTGTGGTGCTGTTGTTCGCACTGGGAAGAATAGTAGACTCAACTCTGAATTGGTTTGCAGTGTTTTTGGTGATCGGGTACGTGACAAGCCGCTTACACGTTCCACTCGTGTTTGACCTAGAAAAGGAGTACAGACTAACTGTTAGTTACCACATAACTTGGTTAGGTGTGGAGAAGGCAAGAGGCAAAGTGTATGGTGACTATCATGTTTCATTCGATCAACTTAGGTGGTACGCGGATGCAGTTATGCAGTACAATCCTAGGAGTTCTGTGAACTTGGATTTCGAGCAATCAACCGGCCGATTTAAGCGATTCTTCATATCATTCAAATCTTACATTGACAGATTCAACCATATCCGCCCATTATTGTTTGTTGATGGCACTTTTTTGCTTGCAGGCAATTTGCTTGCAGTGACGGGGAAGGATGGCAACAAAAGTACGTGTCTTATGATGATTACTTCAATCTTCCATATAATAACACATCACATAGCGACTAAACATTTTATTATAGCAATAGGGGATCCCCCATGGAAAATGTGTTTCCAATTTAATGTTATTTTCATAACATTGTCTATGGTGCGGTTTGAATTGTGAACAATTGTTAATGTGAATGTAAACATTATTAAAAATATTACACATCTAACGTAAAACTTGTCATATCTCCCAGGTTTATTCCTATTGGCTTTCGCTATTGTTGACTCCAAAACCACTGCAAATTGGACTTGGGTTTTAGAGCACCTGACAAACGTTGTCAATAGTGCTCGAACATTAACTTTCATATCTAATCGGAATACTGGGTTTCTCGAATCCTTGCCAACTGTATTCCCATCTACACATCATGCCTACTGTTTGCAACATCTCCAAGCAAATTTGTGGGACAAATTACGGTGCGTTAACAACCGTGTCTATTTTGGTTTAATGGCCAAGTTACGTGAATGTGCATACGTTCCAACCGAGGCTTCGTTTCAGCACCATTTGGCCAAGCTAAAAGGATCAGGACGATCTGGAATAAATAATTTTTTGGAAAATATGCCACCAAACCATTGAGCCAATGCATATTTTAGGATTGTACGATACTTACATGTGATAACATTGAAAATACCCAATATATAATAACATTTTCATGATGTTTTCAAAATGTCAACAGGAGCAAACACTATAAGGAGATAACCTCTAACGCTGCAGAATCGTTCAATAAATGGATACTTTATGCCTATATTTACCCAATCACTAGGTTAGTTGATACAATCAGAAATCAGATAATGACAATGAGGGCTGAGCGTAAATTATTGGCTACTAATTGGAATGGCTTACCTTGTCCAAAAAATGGAAAGTTGTGTTAGGGAGGCGTACTCCAATGGTTGCACATGAATTGTTAGTCAGGCAAATGAAGACATATACGAGGTTTATTCATTTCCAACGGTGTTGGTAGACATTAGCAAGCGTTTATGTTCATGTTTCCAATGGCAATAAATGGATTCTCATGTGCACATGCGGTGGTTGCAATACAGAATAGTGGAAGGGATTTTAGTACATGCGTTGAACAATTTTTCACGTCGATCAATACAAAGCAGCTTATTCCAAATACATTCAGTCAATACCAACAGTTGACAAACCGTCCTTCTCGGAAGATGACTTCATCATATATCTACCAGCAGTTAAACGTTCTCCAGGGCGACCGAAGAAGAATCGGATACCATCTCGGGGGGAGAAACTAAGTCAGATCAGGTGCGGTTGATGTGGTCGTATGGGCAGCCATAACTGAAAGACATATAAAGAACCAATTTAGTAATAGACACTTAGCGGCAAAGTTTTATAATCACTTTTGAATAGCAACATCGTATTATCGTAGTAAAATGTAGCGAAACAAAATGATGACAAATTTTAATAAGTCAACAAATTATTTATAAGTAATCATTCAGCTGGTTTTTTTCTTCACACCGCTTTCATTCATATATTAGCTTTACATGTTTATGTTATTGTTCATGCAACTGTATGTTTGAAACCAACAAAACACGTTTGGGTAGTGCGTTGCACACTGGCTTTGTATGCGAGAATCCATAGTTTTTGAAGCCAGGTATTATGTCGGTGTGACATAGGTTATCCTTCAACCAGTTCATCAATCTTAATTTACAGCACATACTTGAAAGATTAAATTGACGAAGCACACCTACCATTTGAATTTACAGCACATCCTTCGACAATGGGAATAAATTTTAAATCGAATCAAATCATTCGGAATTCAAAAAACAACATTGTTTACAAAGTATTAAAAAAAATATTCAAACTTCTAGTCTTGAAAATTGTTTGAATTGTAATTTGAAGCAAATAACATACTACGAACACGAATGTGACACCATACAATATAAGGGGAAACGCAAATTGGCACATACCAACACTGTTAATCCTGATATGACAACATATACAATAACAGTACGCATGTCGATTTATTGAAAAATATGACAACATAAACAAGAATGTGAGGTGCAAAGATTGATGTGTGACACGCCCCCAACATTAATGTGACAACATATATACTGAGTAAATGACAATTTGAAAATTTGACACATTTAAAGACAACGTGACATTTGATAAATGAAAAGTGAACCAAATCTACCTAACAAATCCCACCACCCTCAACATCCTGTAACAAGTAATAAACACTTCAATACATTCACTTTCATAATCTTTAAAGTATACATGGGAAGTCAAATTTTGTTAGAACAATCCACCATTGACACGTAACGTGAATGTCGAAAGCAACAATTTAAGTAAACTAGATGACAAACATCATATGATCAATCCTCAATCTTGTTAGTTGCATTTTCCAACTCCCTGTGACAAGTACCAAACACTCCCATACATTCACATTCACAGTCTGGGTATTAGAGATGGACAACCAAGATTCCTTCTGACATTCACATTCACCTTCACCTTCACATTCACAATCACATTTACATTTACATTCACATTTAGTCACTTAACATTCCTACTGACATTAACTTCTTACTAACATTACTAAATGATACATGCCGCCATATTATAAAAAACAAGTGCATACAAAAAATTATAAATGAATCGTCGTAACATATTCCCAAAAAAAATGTACAAATCCTCAATCTATATTGACAATGCTACCCAAAACATCCAAAACATCCAAAATTTGTTTAACATCAAACGTACTGTACCATTCAAAAACTAATTAACTGTGAATTTAGACCAAAAAAAACGATAATGCACTCATTTGGCACCATTGGAAAATTGTTCCAATTGTCAATTAGTAGTGACAAATGACATTTTTGGGTTGTTCATAAATGACTTCACCATACCGGCTCGCATCATTTTGTAGCTCTCCCCTCTCATTGACTTGTCCGCATCTAGGTGACGCACGAGTTGCTTCATAATGAAACATACTATAATTCCACAATCAGCCATGTTATAAATATTTAAGACATTATTAACTACGTTAAAACGAACCACGTGCTATAATGATCTAGAATTTTTCCCTTCGCTCGAGCGGGGGAGTTGACGCTCAAGCAAACTTGAGAGGCTCCCAGCATTTTTTCAGTCTATCCGAAATTCTAAGAGTTGTGACTTCCCGCTCCAGCATAGAAGTGGTCGCTCGAGCGGACGGCTTTGTTGGTCTACGCGCTCGAGCATGGAAAGCAACACTCGAGCGTGGACAATGAGATTGCCCTTGACATTTTTATTAGTGTATTTAGAACCTCCTTATTTTATTTTGGGGTATTGATTGAAGTGGCAACATAATGATAAAGTAGGAGTGAACCAAGAATTTAATTCGGATAATTTTTTCTACGAATAACCATCACTCTTTTGCCTTTTTCTTTTTCCACACTTTGAATTTGGATGTGAGTCTAGAACCATTGGAAAGCTTGTTTCCGAGGCTTCAATTTGGATACAAGAACGACCTAGAACGGAATCTGGATGAGAGAGTTATACTTGTTTGAAGTTTTGGAATCTGTGTAGGAAGCAGGTACGCTCGAGCGGGAAAAGCGACGCTCGAGCGAAATGGGCGAATTCAGCAAGTTTAAAGGCACTTTTCTAGATCATGCTTCACATTTTCATCTCCTCTCTTCATTCCTCTCACCCTAGGTCCGAAAACCCTAGCTTTTTGACCCCAAATACTCTTCATTCTTCTAAGATTTGGGTAAGATCCCTTACAAGAAAGTGAAGAGGCTTGAAGATCTTACTTTTCTACCGATTGGAATTCGGATTTGCGAAGGATTTTTCTCAAAGCTTTTCTCTTTTACTCAATTCTTGAGGTAGGGGTCCTAGTTCTTCTTCAATACTTACATTAATAGATAGATTTGTGGTATTTTGATTATATAAATGCAAAATCTACATTTTTGAGCATATAGTATTATATCATAAAATTGGGGGGTTTAGGGTTTGAAGTGCTGGGGTTCAATTGTTGGGTTAAGATTATGGATTATGAACCTTAAGTGTATTATCAATGGAAAAATTGGAATAAAAAGTAGTGGTTTGAGAAATTTGAATTTTTCTTGAAAGTTTTGATTTTTCTTGAAAACCCTAGGTTGATTCATGATGATAATTAATGATTTTGCCCAAATTGAAATTAGATCATGAAATTGAGGTGTTGAATTATATATATACAAGTTTAATTGAAATTTGGAAGTGTTTGAAAATTATGTAAAAAATTAGCCAATGAACCTTTGTTATGGGCATTGTAGATCATGCTATAATATGAAATGAAATTTGGAGGAAAAGATGTGATAATGATATGGATGACATAAACTTGGTTATGGAATGTTGAAGTGGGATTCAAGAATTTATCTTGAATTATGTTGAATTGCAAATAGTGTTGTTGAATTAAGTTGTGTTGACTTATGTTGAATTAAGTTGTGTTGAATAATGTTGAATTGAATTGTGTTGAACTATGATGAATTGTGTTTGAATCATGTTGAATTGTGTTGAGTTTAGTTGTGTTGGGTGTATTGAGTTTGAGTTAAGTTGTGTTGGGCTGTGTTGAATTTGAGTTGAGTTGTGTTGGGTTGTGTTAAGTTGTGTTGGGTGGTGTTGTGTTGGTACTCGCGCGAAGAGTTGAAAAAATGTTTTTGGGGGCCCACGTCCCGCCGTATAGTAGCCGGCAAATGTGGGGGTGATTTTGGATTAAAGGTGCCCAATTGCCCTATCTAAGCTTATCGCTGGACGAATGTGGAAAAATGTTTTTGAGTGTCCACACAGTCCCACCATAATAGCTGGCAAAAGTGGAAAAATGATTTTTGGGTGTCCACACAGTCCTACCGTATTGTATCCGGCAAAAGTGGAAAAACGGATAGTTTTCCAAAATATTTTGGGTGCCCACATCCCACCGTATAGTAGCCGACAAATGTGAGGGATAGTTTTAAAAAGTTGAAAAATGGTTTTTGGAAAAATATGGTTTTTTTAGAAGAAAATGGCTTTTGAGAAAATGGTTTTTGGGAGTTCACTTCCCGCTGTATAGTAGCTGGCGAAATGTGGAAAGTGTTACGAATTAGGTGCCTGTTGTCCCGCCGTAGTAAGTCGGCAAAAGGTGGATTGTGTTGAGATATGTGTTGAGAAGTATGTTGAGTTAATAATGTTATTTGTGACTTGTGATGAATTTATGAAATTGCATATTGATGTGTAATTTGGTTTAAAGGGGAAATGTGCATAGATATTATTTGTAAAGAATGGAAACCAAAAATGGGTAAGAGGAATATGGACTGGTGATGGAAAACTTAATGAAGTAGTTGTGGCAATAAAGGTAAATTATAAGTGTTGTTCTGTAAATAAATTAGGGAACTTGAATTTGAATTTATGGAGTTCTAAATAAATATAATGAGTAGAAAGGAAGAATGAAAGACAAAGATGAATATTAAAAATGGAAACTAAATAAGAAATATTTTGGGAATTGGTTAATAATTTGTAAATGATGTTGTTTCTTAAATATGTTTGTTTCACAGGGATCTATAGTTTTCTAAAGTTAAGGGATGATTTTAATGGCTAAAGGTTTTTCTTAAAAGTGTTTAAATAGTTTTTGAGAAAAAGGTACTTAGTTAAGAAATTTTGAAATTATACAATGTCACCCTACTGTATGGTATCACTCTGCATGCATGATCATTTCTATATGTGTGTTGGTTATTGATTGAGAACTATAAGATTTCTACTGGGCATTAGTGCTCACCCCTGTTGTTTTTAATCTTTTTACAGGAAGAATATGTGGATTTTGTGATTGAAGAGTTAAGAAGTCCATGTGTCTTTTATATGTAATTTCATTGTAGATGTAATGGATCTTGTATTTGTATTTTATTTATTTGTAGCTTCACAGTAAGAGATTGGCATGTATTGTTGTCATTGTAATATTCATTGAGAGAGAGAAAGAGAGAGAGAGAGAGAGAGAACATGTATCCTTGTATTTCTATTACTCAAGGGTAATGGATGTTTAAAAAAAAATGGACCTAATCTAAAGGCTTTGGTAATGTCTTCGAGTAATTAAAATTTGGGACGTGACACGTGCAATGTATGGAAACATCAATAACATACATTGCAAACAAACGTAATTCACACTTATAAGTCTGCTTTTTGTTGAGGACAATAATCAACCACTAAAAGTTCCTTTACCAAATCTTGCATTTCAACTGCACCAACCTTCAGTCTCCACCTTATGTAATCCTCAAAGTATCCCTTATACATTATTGTCAAATTTATATTACCAAGTAATTAGTTTTGTTGTCAAATATAAAATACAAAGATCAGTGCAATTAACTAATTCACGTTTACTAACCAACAATCATGCTTCCCAGTAATGTTTTTCTTCCCTCCCACTTCTTGGTTTCATTGAGTTGTAATGCATTCAAAATCCCTCCTCAATGTCATAAACCATTAGTGTCCAATGGTTATCTAAGTGGATTACAAATTGAATATATCTGGCTTTAAGGGCATGAGGGGCACGCACGGCCAAATACCTGTCACGTACATCTTCGCCCACATCTCTAATTGTCACGACCCAAACCCACCCCTATAGGTTTAGCATCGTAACCGACCAGTAATCCTTGGATTATCAAAGGCCTCTTGACATAACAATACATAAATAGGGGCTGCGAAAGCAAATACATAAAATATGCATAGTTCATCAAGCTGTGAGAACATACATGGGACAGATAATCTTAAATTTTTATAAACATACGAGTGACGTCAAAAGATACAGTATCTACACGTCACTTCATATACATATAAATAGAAAAACTTGTTCGTGGAGCAAAAGAAACAAAGTCTTATACATTAATAACAACACTGCCACTAGACTTGACTTAATACAGAACCTCCTCGGGAGGCACAAAGGTTGGCTGACCAAAATGAGACGCCAGATCCTCAACTCTGAGCCTGATCACGTGCCTGATCACCTACATACAAAATATAAATAGTGAACGGGAGCCTAGTGAATAATAACAAAGTAAAGGTTTAAATGAATGATGTCCCATAACTAAGTCCGTACGTAGGATAGATTCATATACGTATTCTTGTTTGAGTCATTGACAGAAATCAGAATTTCTACTTGCTCTTACATGGTTTATCCATTAGCGCTAACAGATCATATACAGAGCATCATAGATCATATTTGTCAATTCCACAGAAGAACCTCCGGCTGAGTACGAATAACTTGTCAGTTCCTTAAAGGAACCACCGGACGAGGAACGAATAACTTGTCAGCTCCATATAGGAACCTCCAGCCGGGTATATAGATAACTTGTCAGTTCCATAAAGGAACCTCCAGCTGGGTGTAGATAACTTATCAATTCCATAAAGGAACCTTCGGTCCGAGTACATATTGCATACTTGAATCACAGCATTAATGTCACAATTATTTATCAGAGGTGGACAATCATTCATAGTGTAAAAACATAGCATTCATAGAACATATTTTATTCCATATACAGAAAATAATTTAACTTGAACATAGCTTTACTAAGTTATTACTCATAGATAACAGATGGCTCCAAGTAAACGGACAGAGTAGGCAATTCAGATACCTTGTGGCACGTGACCTACACAGATACAAAATAAATACGTACTAAATTACACACCCGAAATCATCAACTCAGTTCTTTCTTGTCTTAGTGTATTCTTACTCCTCTATTCTCATTATGATGCCTTAAACTTGGCCTAAGTATGCCTAGGATGAAATGATGATGAAAAATGCACTTGAAAACACTTAAAAAAACTTGCTAAAAACAAAGTCCTCGCTCGAGCATAACTTCTTATGCTTGAGCGGACATGCAAAATATGAGTGGTCGCTCAAGAGCAAGATCTGTCACTCGAGCAGTTTGTAAACTTTTGCAAAAGTGCTTGTTGCTTGATTTTTTCGCCCAATGCTCACTCGGCACTCGCTCAAGCGTAAGAGACATGCCCTCGCTCGAGAGCAACTTTTGTCATTTGAGCGGCCTGCAAAACATAAGAACTTCTGGGAGCATGCATTTCATGCTCAAGCGGACTTCTGGTCGCTCGAGCAAAAGTGCATGCACTCAGAGTGGTCGCTTGAGCGTGGATTCCTTTGCTCAAGCGTAGAATTTTGGAATGTCCAAAATTGCTCCCAAGCTCAAAACTTAGATTCAAAGTTGTAAAACATGGTCTCTAGGGCCAAAAACTTGAGGAAGCTATAAGAAACACTTATAAATGGTAAAACCATGGTGAATTCAAAATCATTTCACAAAACCAAAGCTCAAAAACTTGTCAATTATACAAAACCAAACTTGAAATGTTGAAAATATAACTTGTATGTAATGGTATGAGTTTTAACCTTCCAAAACATAATCAAATGAGGCAAAAACATGTGAAATGTGATGAACTTCCAAAATCAAGCCATGATCAATGCATGCATGTGAAGCTTTCTCAAAATCAAGCTCTAAATGCAAAAGAATTTACATGCAAGTATGATTATCTTCTTAATTCTTTTTCTTAAGCTTAATTCTTGGCTTAATTAACTAATTCTCTTGAATTCATGCATTAAAGACTAAAAATATACAACTAAAGGAGTGAATTTCTACCTCAATCCTTGAATTCTCAAGTGTAAGAGCTTAGTTTTCCAAGTTCTCTCCAAATTCTTCTATTTTCTAGCAATTCCTTTTGAATGAGCTCAAGTCTCACAAAATTCTCAAGCTTAGGACCAAATCTTCCCACTCTCTCTCTCTCTCATGTTTGTGTGTGTTTGTGAGTTCAAAGATGTATATAAAATGGAGAAAAAGAATGATTGGGGGTATAAAAGATGCCTTATATAGGCTTAGATCAAAATTTCATTAGTTAGGTTTAATTGAGCATTAATTATTCTAATTTAATCATTCTAAATCGAATTTCAATTAAACCTACCATAAACTTCTAAAAATTCTAATTAACACATAAATCAAGTCAATTTCTGAATCGGATGCCAATAAGGTCTTCAATTCGCAAACAAAAATGAAAACATGAACAAATCTTTCTACGTTAAATAGATATAAACACACATAAGGCAACATATGTTACAAAATTTCACTTTAATTACTTATTAGGCATAATTAAGCATGGATTAACGTTAATCATGGGTCGGAGTTGTTACAATTTTCCCCTCTTAAAGAGTTTGGTCCTCCAAACTCAAGTTACCTTCATTCTGGAAAAACACCGGATTCAAAGGAAACAACTCAGGGTATCTCCTCATCATGTCTTCTTCTGTCTTCCAAGTTGCATAAGTTCCTCCATGATTCTGCTAATCAACCTTCACTAACGGAATTTTCTTATTTCTCAATCTTTTGACTCGGCGATTCACAATTTGCATTAGCCTCTCCTCGTATGTATAATCATCTTTTAGAAGTACATGACTCAGCTCAATCACATGTAGTGGATCTCTCAAATAATCCCGAAGCATAGAGATATGAAATACATTGTGCATATGTTCCATGACTGGTGGTAAAGCTACCCGATACGTCACTGAATTACTCTTCTCAAGGATTTCATGAAGTCTAACATATCTTGGTGCCAATTTGCCTTTCACGCCAAACCGTGCCTGGCCTTTCATTGGGGTCACTTTGATAAATACGTGATCCCCAACTTCATATTTCCTGTCTCTTCTTCGGACATCGGCATAGCTCTTCTGGCAGCTTTGTGCAGTTTTCAGTCTGTATCGAATTAATTTCACATTTTTAGTTGTTTCTTGTACCAGTTTCGGTCCCAATAAAGGTATGTTGCCTACCTCAACCCAACAAATCGGAGAACTGTATTTCCTACCATACAAAACTTCATGTGGGGCCATACCAGTACTTGAATAGTAGCTATCATTATACACAAATTCGGCCAGAGGAAGGTAATGCTCCCAATTACCTTGAAAGTCTAACACACACATCCGTAACAAGTCCTCTAATGTTTGAATGGTCCGTTCCGATTGGCCATCTGTCTATGGGTGATAAACACTGCTTAATCTCAATTTAGCCCCCAAACCTTGTTGCAAACTCTGCCAGAATCTTGAAGTAAACTTGGGGTCTCTGTCAGATACTATGGACACTGGAACTCCCTGTAATTTCACAATCTCATTGACATACAAATTAGCCAACTTATCCACATTATACAAAGATTTAATAGGCAGAAAATGGACAGACTTAGTTAAACGATCAACAATGACCCAAATAGAATCCATACCTCGAGAAAAATGAGGTAGTCTAACAATGAAATCCATAGTAATATGCTCCCACTTCCACTCCAGTATTGAAAGTGGCTGAAGTAATCCTGCAGGTCGTTGATGTTCAGCTTTAACTTGTTGGCAATACAAGCATTTAGCCACAAAGTCAGCAATACTTTTCTTCATTCCAGGCCACAAGAAGTTCTGTTTCAAGTCATGATACATCTTTGTATTTCCTAGATGCATGGCAAATTTGGAGTTGTGGACTTTAGTCATAAGGCGTTTCCTTAAGTCAAAACAGTCTGGCACATAAGGGTGACCCTGAAATTTCAACACATTGTTCTCAAAAACAAACCCGGGCCTTGGTCTTGAGTCAATTTCATTCACGATCTTTTTCAAAAATTCATCTTGCAGTTGTTTCTCTCTAATTTCTTCAATGATTGCAAGCTGAGCAGAAATGGTAGCTAAGATCCCGCCATGTTCATGCATTATCTCAATCTCATTCTTTTTCAAATCACATAGCAATTCTTTCTAACCGGTGAGCAAGCATGACAAATTTCTCATTGATTTTCGGCTCGAGACATCTGCCACAACTTTAGCCTTTCCCGGATGGTACAAAATCTGTAAATCATAGTCTTTGATCAACTCTAACCATCTTCTCTATCTCATGTGTAATTCTTTCTGTGTAAAGTAATATTTCAAAGTTTTATGGTCGGTATATACCTCGCAAGTCACAACATACAGATAATGTCGCCAAACCTTCAAGGCAAAAATCACAGCTGCCAATTCAAGGTCATGAGTTGGGTAGTTCTTTTCATGTGGGTGGAGTTGTCGAGAGGCATAAGCAATCACTCTCCCATTTTGCATAAAGACACACCCCCAAGTCTTTATAGAAAGCATCACTATAAATCTGAAACCCATTGGTTCCGTTAGGCAAGGTCAAAATTGGTGCAGTTACCAGTCTAGTTTTCAGTTCTTAAAAGGCTGACTCTCATTGATCATTCCAATCCAACGATACATTTTTCTGTGTCAACTGTGTTAATGGCATAGCAAGCTTTGAAAATTCATTCACAAATCTACAATAATAACCTGCAAGTCCCAGAAAACTTCTAACTTCTGACACATTCGTCGGTTTAGGCCAGTCCACAATAGCTTCAATTTTTTGTGGGTCTACCGATATACCATCCCTGTTGATTACATGGCCCAGAAAGGCTACGATGTCCAGCCAAAATTCACATTTGGAAAATTTTGTATATAACTTATTTTCCCTCAAGATTTGTAAGGTAGTTCTTAAATGATTCTCATATTCTTCCCTGCTTTTGGAGTAAATCAATATATCATCAATAAAGACAACAATAAATTCATCCAGAAATTATTTGAACACCCTATTCATTAAATCCATGAACGCCGCAAGTGCATTTGTTACCCCAAATGGCATTATCAAAAATTTATAGTGTCTATATCTAGTTCTAAATGCAATTTTCTCTATGTCTTCTGTCTTGACCTTTAACTGGTGATACCCGGATCTAAGGTCAATTTTAGAAAATACTTGGGCTCCCTAGAGTTGGTCAAACAGATCATCTATTCGAGGTAATGGATATTTGTTCTTCACGGTTACTTTATTCAACTCACGGTAGTCAATACATAGTCTCAAAGATCCGTCTTTCTTTTTAACAAACAACACTGGGGCTCCCCAAGGTGAGGTACTCAGACAGATGAATTTCTTGTCTAAGAGTTCTTGGAGTTGAACTTTTAATTCTTTCAGTTCAAAAGTCGACATTCTATACGGAGTCTTAGAGATAAGTTGTGTTACAGGTACTACATCAATGGTAAACTCAATTTCCCTATCAATTAGGTTTCCGAGTAAATCATTAGGAAACACATCAGGAAATTCACAAACCACAGAAATAGTTTCCACGCTGGTACTATCCGAAGATACAGTCATTACACTACACAAGTAACCCTAACAACCTTTTCTCAACAATTTTTTGGCTTTCATAAATGAAATCAAGTATGGTGGAGGAACTACCACATTCCCAGTGAAAACAAACTCAGGCATACCAAGTGGTTTAAACGTGACGGTTTTATTCACACAATCAATAGTGGAACAATATTTCGATAACCAATCCATGCCCAATATACAATCAAAGTGGTCAATGCTCAAAGGCAACAAATCAACGTACAATGTCATATCACCAATCAAAACATCACATGCAGGATATACATAAGTGCACATCATAGAACTTTCCAATGGTGTAGACACAGATAGTATGCAATTCATATGTTCCAATGATCTAGCCAACTTCCGAGAAAAAGCATGCGATACAAATGAATGCGTAGAACCAGAATCAATCAATATATAGGCATTCTGTGCACAGATAGAAATTATACCTGACACCACTGGTTCAGTATTCTGTACATCTCCGGGTACTAGAGCAAACACTTTCCCTTGCCTTAGTGTTTCATTCCCGCTGTTATTCCTGGCATTAGTTCTTTCATTGGGCCTCGTTACAGGAGTAGATCCGGCTGAACTTGCTGTTGGATGATTTGCATTATCAAACCTCATTGGACAGTCCTTAATTATGTGACCATTTTTCCACACCGGAAACACGCGCCTGATCCACGATGACACATGCCTTTGTGTTTCCTTCCACATTCTGAACAAATTGGCATAGACCCACTACTTTGGCTTGAGCTACTTAGAGCTCCAGTATTTTGCTTTTTGTTCGTAAAGAATAAACAGCTCTTTCTTCCGAAAATTGGATCTAGGTCTTTTGCTTCTCCATTCTGTTGTTGGTGCCTTGGCTTGCCTCATTGCTGCTATTGTGGCTTCTGTCATTATCGCTCTATCTAAAACTTCCACGTAGGTAGGCAATTTTAAGACGCCTACTCGATCAAATACTTCCAGATCCAACCCGCCTTCAAATTTCTGTGCCTTCTTCTAATCAATATCCACCATATGTGGAGCAAATAGAGCCAACTCAGTAAATTTGGCCTCATACTCAGCCACGAACATCCTGCCTTGTTTAAGTTCTTGGAATTCATAAACTTTCCAATCTCAAAAACACTGAGGAAAGTATTTATCATAGAAGATCGCATTAAATTGTGCCCACGTCATATTCTCATTACTGTTTCAGATTAGCAACCACCACTTCCGGGCTTCATCTTTCAAAGTGTAGGTAGCCAGAAGGACTTTCTAAATCTCAAAACAAGGGAATACTTCAAATAGTTTCTCCATTTCAAGTTTCCATGTTTCTGCTTTTAACAGTTCAATGTCACCCAAAAAGGTCGGTGATTTCATTTTCAGGAACTTCTGAGTTAAATTTATAAGATCATTGTTATCCGGCTCAACTTGGACTGGTGGGGGTAGAGGAGGTAAGGGTTGTTGCCTCAGTTGTTGTTGAGTCATTGCCTCAGTTAAAGCTGCAAGCATTTCTTCCATACGGCTCATTTGAGCCTTAGATGATTCAGCTGTTCCATCACTTCTTGTATTTTCCATTTGCTATAGGTAAACAGAACATTATAAACGTAGGCAAATAGTCCTTTTACAATATTCAGATCGTTTGTTTCCATATCATGTGATCATAATCAAATTTAGGTTTTCACTTTCAATAAACACATACTTACACATGCGGATGGAATGCCTCTATTTCTTACTAGGACATCCTAAGCTCATATGAACTCGTGTGTGCGGTAGAACACGTGCTTTGATACCATTATGTCAAGACCCAAACCCGCCCCTATAGGTGTAGCGCCGTAACCGGCCAGAAATCCTTGGATTACCAAAGGCCTCTTAACATAATAATATATAAATAGGGGTTGCGGAAGCAAATACATAAAATATACATAGTCTATCGAGCTGTGAGAACATACATGGGATCGACAATCTTAAGCTTTTATAAACATACGAGTGACGTCAAAAGATACAGTATCTACACATCACTTCATGTACATATAAATAGAAAAACTTGTTCAAAAGAAACAAAGTCTTATACATTCATAACAACACAGCCACTAGACTTCACTTAATCTGGAACCTCCTCGCGAGGCACAAAGGTTGGATGACAAAAACTGAGACGCCAGATCCTCAACTCTGAGCCTAGTCACGTGCCTGATCACCTACATAAATAATATAAATAGTGAGCGGGAGCCTAGTGAATAACAACAAAGTAAAGGGTTAAATGAATGATGTCTCATAACTAAGTCTGTACATAGGATAGTTTCATATGTATATTCTTGTTTGAGTCATTGACAGAAATCAGAATTCATGCTTGATCTTACATGGTTTATCCGTTAGCGCTAACAGATCATATACAGAGCATCACAGATCATACTTGTCAGTTCCATAGAGGAACCTCCGGCCGGGTACGAATAACTTGTCATTTCTTAAAGGAACCTCCAGA